CTCGGGATACGCCCAGAGTCACGGAACGCATTAAGTTCGTATCCCGAGGTACCACTGTAGTTGCCACACACCAAACACAACCAACCATGTGAGAAGTCAGGACCGGAAGTTGGCACCGGAAGTTAGGAGATGGTGGGGAAAGGTTTTTGGCGTGCTTTCTCCCATCTTCTGGCTCAACTACCGGTTCCAACTTCCAGTTCCATCTTGTTCATATCAGCCAAAGTTTACAACTTGAAAGTTCGTATGTAGGGAACCTTTTGTATATCTACAGTGTAGCTAGAATAGGATGGGCTTTCTTACTTCATGGTCTATAAGCGCACCCCCCCCCCTTTTGTGTGTGCCAAGGGATCTTATATCAAGAAATTGGGTATTCATAGCAACCTTTCCCATCCAGCCCTAGACTTCATTATGTATTCGATAAAGCTCAGGCTAGTGTCATGTTTCATGTTGTCTTATTGTCTTGAACCTACGGAAGACCACATGTCTTACCCATTAGTTGCTGGAACTAAGATTGAATATTACCTGAAGATAGTGAGCAACTAAGTATGAATGTAGCTGTGCATAACTAAGGCTAAATTTAAAGGCGGACATCCTACTCTTAGAATTGAAATAATACATGCAAGGTATTGGAGTGCTTTTTATAGAGGTGTGTAGCTATTTCAGTCTTGGGTTCTGAAGCTATTCCAACAATTCTGGAAATGTTCTGAACTCAAAAAGTTTGTTTTGAATTAGATTTGAGTTTGAGCTGAATAGAAACATTTCCAGGAAGATCTGAATAGCTGTTTTGAACTGTAAACATTTCAAATTTGAAATATTTTGCCCACCGCTGCTGTTTTAATTTTAAAGAGAGTTTGCCTCTAGTAATATAAAATTGCATGATGAAAATCTAACAAATAAAATTCTGCCATGAAAAGTTAGAAGATTTAAGGTGGATTAGTACCTGTAATGGGTTGTGAGAGTAACCTTGGTGCGATCTGTGGGAAACTCTGTTGGTCTGCCTGCCGTAAACATAAATAAAAGCAAATATTCAGATTAGGAGCTGCAAGAAGCCAGTATGAAAGGTGAGTTTTTGAAAGACCACATACCTAAAAATATTTTTTTTAATGTTTACTTTATTTAGAACCGCAATTACTCTTTTTTAGGAAAATCATAATGTAGAGAGAACACAAAGATCTCTTTGCATAAAGACATCTTTGTACAGGCCAAGGATATGTACCTCATTATGAAAAATATTTATACAGGAAGAATGCAAAGCTACATTTGTGCCAATACATTAATAGCCACTTTATCATAGTATGGCTTAGGATTAACTCTGAATGGATTTGGTTTCCAGATAATGCCAAATTTTCGATGAGTGATGCCAGAGATGTTGCTTGTGAACTTTTGGGGGACCATATGAATAAGCCTAATAGGAAATTAAAGATTACTGGGAGAATCAAAAAGGTGAGTCAGTATATCATGGCTGTAAGGGCAGTAGAAGGAAGTGCCAATCGTTCCTTCTTTTTCCCAGGCTCAGATGTCTTCTTGCATCAGCAGGTCTGGGGAATCTTGTAATCTGCAGTAGATGGGGAGTAAATCCTAAGGGGAGAAGTGGACACAGAAGGGTAGCAACCTACTGAATAGCTTATGTACCCAGAAGGAAAATATGATTGGCTGGACAAGGAGCACTGTACTCTGCAGCATTTTGTTATATATTCTTTGAATGGAAGTTTTCCAGATAAATATATTTGTAAAACAAGCTTTTGATTTGGCAGGACACAGCGCATCATGAAATGGAGCCATGAAATGGATCCTGTACTCTCTAATCATTTTATTTTTCTTTAACTTGAGTATTGGGGTGTTCAGAGCCATTATCAGCCACCTGGTTTTAATAACAGGAAGATTTTCAGCCAAGCTAAGATAGGCTTCCCACCCCCTTCCCCTTTCTAATTCATCTACATAGGAACAAAAATTTGTTAACTCTCTTATGAGCAGCAACAAGCTTTTAAGAAGCATCTGTTACAAGACATTTCAGCTTCTAGTATTTGGATTTATTCTTCCTAATAGCAGTTGATCAGTCTGTTTTTTTAACATACAGACCTTTCCACACAGTCAAAACTTAAGAGTGGACCAAATTTTAAAAAATACAAATTGACAAATACATAAAAATAAGTAAAAAATAAATAAAAAGTTGCTCTGCAGTGAGATGGCCGGTGACAAATTTGAAATATAAATAAAGTAAATAAAAATCCATAATGCAACTTAATTTAAAAATTTTTGATATAAACATTGGGACATTCTGACCACCAAACCATTATCCTCTTGATAGTGGAGCCCATGCATTTTAGGAGAAACTCTATTTTCTGGAGAACTTTTCATGGGCACGATAGGTTGAAAGCAATAGCATAATTAGATAGTACCATGTCCGCCAGCAAGATACTTCTCTTGTGCCACTTTGGTCTGACCTGTATTTGTTTGTCAGAGAAGTAGAATTCTGACAAAAAACATTTTAACTTGTCCCATACTCTACTATGCATCATAATTCTATAAGTTTAGAAACAGACACAAAAGTCTTTATTCCTCTTTACTTCAGCGTGAGTTACTGAGTTCTGAAGAACTGTTAAAACATTTTCCTCTTTTTCTAGTGGGCTAACATTATGGTAGAACATTGTATTATTGTTAGAAGAACTGCTATTACCATTAAAGAGGTGTCATGTCTTTAATTTCTTTTGTATTTGCTAAGTTCAGTAAAGTTTTGCAGCAGGCTAGATACTGAAAATGTAACACATAGTTTTACAGTAATAAATAATTAAATGAACTGCACATATGGAGGAAGATCTTTACAAATTTCAGAAAGCCAATTCCATTTGATTCATTAAGAATCAATTTGGGGAATGGGTGGATCATTTCCATAAATCATGGAGACAAATATTTACAGTTAAAGTACAGTACCAGCAACCTCATGTTGAACTATCTTTGGTAGCTATAGATTAAAAGCACTAGACCATCAAAGCTATTTTCTAGGAATCATCTTGTGACCTATAACTTGCTCTGCACCTCTATAATGCATTGTTTTCACAGCATTCTCTACATGTGAACACAGGGCTCTTTCATGCAGGTGTGTTTATGAAAAGAAGCTACAGCTTGCTACCCAAATGTTGAAATTATGAAAAAAATTAACCTTTATATGATTTAGATGTTCGTCAGAATTGGACACCGTTGGAGCAAACAAATATCACATTTGTTGATCTATTATTTTTCCTTCTTTCCCTAAATATTTAGCCTTTGAGAACATTAGTCATGACAAGCATGTCCTCTGAGTAAGTACCAGGTATTGTGATTATGTTTCTGTGCATACATATCTTCATATCTTTGTAGATCACAAAACTGTCTTCATTGTCTAGTATCCTCCAGTGTTTGGATTTCAACTTCCTGAAATCTGAGCCAATATGGCCTCAGTAATGCAGGCCTATGGCAACATTTGAGAAACAACACTTCCATTAATAGCTTATATTTGTATGCTACAATTAGAAAAATGTAGACATATACTGATTTCAAACCCTAGAGTTCAAAGCTAGCTTTGGTTATACAGTATATACTTTCTAAATGTCTTAAAAACACGTAGCTAATACAGTTTAATTACTTAAAATCATTTACTTTTATATAAGAAGAATGGTTAAGTTACTTTAAATGGGATGGTACATTTAGCAAAAGAATGATACTGTTAAATATTTATGGACTATGTTAGCATAGAGATAAACACAAAACAAGTTTCTTACAATCTATTTGTTGTATTATGAAAGAATGCGTGCTTATTCAGAAATAAGTCCCAGCATTACTTATCTATAATAGGGAATAGCACCCACAATCAACAGGGAATAGTGTTCAGTGGGTATTACTCCCTATTAATTGTGCTTCAAATTGCAGTATGGAATAAGACCAGGTTATCTGTATAGATCAAATTCAGAGATTTTTAAAAAAGCAATTCAGTATTTGTTTATTATTTGTTGCAATTACTTCTATATGCAGCATTCCAAAATGACTCCCAGTTTACAACAGTGATCTAAAAAATTTTGTGTTGTTGTTCAGTCGTTAAGTCGTGTCCGCTCTTTGTGACCCCATGAACCATATCACGCCAGGCCTTCCTGTTT